CTCCCCACAGGACCAAAAGATCTCTTTATCATCCCCAGAGTGAAGCTTTCCTGTTAGTGTACAATGGCACATGGGGAGAGGACTGTCCCATCCCTGCTCTGCATCACAACTGCAGCCCTGAAGTCGCTGTTTGTACGACTACTTTTAGGCTTCTCTCATCCTGTGTCTAGTAGAGATTTCCAACTGTTGCTGGCCTGAACCTACACTCGGTGGATCCTTCTGGCCTTGTCTACAAACCACGTGCCAGCACCATGCGCTTCTTCCTGATTCCTTCGCATTTCTCGTTTGCTGATGTGATCTGTCTCATTCTAACACAGTGCACATGGCAGGCAGTAGCACTGCCGCTTAACTCTTCACGGTGGGAGATGCTGTATTCATTTTTCTCACACTTGTCATTTAGGATTTCAGAGTTGTGCCCTTGATTCTTCTCATTGCTTGGCTATGTTTTGCTCTCCAGGGCTGAGACAAGGACAAGGTCAGAGAAGGGAAGGAAGTGCCAGAGAATGCCCGCAGCTGCACACTCCTGTCTGCAAAACCTGCCCACCCCCTCTGTGCCCCACTCCAGAGCCCGCAGCCCAAGTGAACCCTCTGTTAAGGCAACCCTGATGGCCTCACCTGGCCTCTGTACTGCCTGCGCATTGAGAACTGCACTAGGGTTTGGAAGCCCACTGAGCCCTGGGTAGGGAAGGTCTTGAGTATCTAGAACAGAGTAGAGAAAACATGGGATATTTCAGTACTGTTTGGGGCTGGAGAGATGGCTCAGTGGTTTAGAACAGTTGTTCTTCTCTCAGAAGACCTGGGTTTGATTCCCAGTACCTACATGGTGGCTCGCAAACATTCATAATGCTAGTTCCAGGGAACCTGACACCCTCTCTGGCCTTCCAGGGCAGCAGACAAACATGTAATGCAAATACATACATGTACACAAAACACTCATATCTGTAAAATAAAATAAATCTAATTTTTTAAATAAAAGTTTCAGTGTTACATCTCAAAGAATAAGAATAAGTAAGTGATTTGGGTGAACAAAGGGCCATATCAGAGATGAAAGGTATATTTCTTTTTATTGAAAATAGATTCTTTCCTCATACAATATATCCTAATTACAGCCCCCCCCCCACTTCTCCCAGCTTTTTCTCAACTCCTCTCCCCTCTGGATCCACTTTCTGTCTCTCATTAGAAGAATGGGCCCTTACTAAAGCTTCTACCTCTAAAGCAGTGTTCGCAACCTGTGGGTTGTAATCCCTTTGGGGAGGGTTGGAAGGACCCTTTCACAGGGGTCACCTAAGACCATCCTGCATATCAGATATTTACATTATTAATCATAACAGTAGCAAAATGTTATGAATTAGCAACAAAGACAATTTCATAGTTGGAGTCAACAAAGACAATTTCATAGTTGGAGTATTGAAGGGTTGCGGTGTTAGGAAGGTCAAGAACCACTGTTAAAGTAAACCTCTCCCTGCCTCACAGAGCAACTATAGGTCCTTAGGGATGGGTGGCTCTCATGAGCCCTACCCTCTAGCCACTGCTAACTGTCTACAAATCCTCAGAGAGTAGAGGGGGCTCCACAAACTCCTGACCACCTCTGGACAGAATGCTGAGGGGCAAGTCAGCATTCAGGAAATTATAACTGACTTTGCGCCATAGGACTGCACCTTTTCTTCCACCTCTGCAGCGTTTTCTGCTCCCTCTTCCATAACTTCTGGGTCCATAGAGGGTGTGGAATGATGTCCTATTCAGGGGTGAGCATTCAGTAGCCCCTTATTCACAATACTTCGTGGCCAAAGTTAATATTCTCTGCAGTAATTGCTGCCACTGCAAAAAGAAGTTTCTCTGCCCAAACCTGAAAGCAGCTCTGACTTATGGGCATAAGCATAAACACTTAGAAGGCAATTTCTCTTGATATTATTTTTTTTTACTTGAGCAAAGGGCTTACCTTTAAAGATACACAAATTTGTCATTTTCAAAAAATTATTTATTAATTATATTTGTGTGTGTATGTGCAAGAGTGCCTGAGTTTAAGTGCCCCATATGTGTGCAGGATCCCATGGAATCTAGAAGAGGCATTAGATACCTTGGAACTGGAGTTATAGGTGGTACTGAGCAGCCATGGTAACTTGGGGACTAAACCAGGGTCCCTGCAAGAGCATCAAGTGGTCTAGTTAAGTTAAGCAGTTAACTGAGCCATCTCTCCAGTCACAAATCTATCATTTTAGTCTGGACTTCATTTAATATTTTTCCTAAAATATGGCATACAAAAGTGGACTTGGTAATTATTCCAGAGGAGCGTTTATTGAATATTTGCTCTCACTATCAAGAAATGAACAGAAGGGTGATTCCCAATTATGTATTCCCTGCACTCCTCTCCTTGGGACCAGATCTCATCACAGATGGCTGTGAGCCACCATGTGGTTGCTGGGAATTGAACTCAGGACCTCTGGAAGAGCAGTCAGGGCTCTTAACTGCTGAGCCATCTCTCCAGCCCCCTCCTTGGGACATATTTATCTTCTTGTTACAATTGGACTGGGGCATAGAGCTTCTAAAAATATTTAATAGGGCTGGGGATGGTGGTTCATGCCTTTAATCCCAGCACTCAGGAGGCAGAGGAAGTGGATGCAGTTTAATAGTAGAGTACTTGTCTAGTTTGTGTAAGGCAGCAGCTTCATTCTGTATTGTGTTAAACAATAATGAAAGAGAGAAACCAGAAGGCTCTCATCAAACATGTGCATATGATAAATATTTAGAGACAGAGGAATATGAATTACTCACATTTGATGAGCACACACATACCTATCAGGAACCATTGCACTGTATTCCAACAGAATATGCGGTATTATTATTTGTGTATTAAAATGAATTGTGGAGAATGTCAGAAGAAATTCTTTTTAGGGAGTCAGATTTGGTGGGGGAAAACCTGTAATCATAGCACTTGGGATGCTCAGGTTGGAGGAAGTGCAATTTAAAGGTATCTTGGACTAAATATAAGAGGCTTGGTTTCAGAAAAAACGTTAAGAAAAACAAACATGTCTTCATTAGAAAGTTATCAACATGAGAATATTGTATCTTTGTACATCAAAAAGCTATTCATTTCTCAGAAAGCAAAGAAAAAAATCAGTAAAGTTTTATAAAACAAAAACTTCATTTAGTTTATCAAGTGAAATTTTTTCCTTTTAAAAATATATTCTTGGCAATCTTACCAAAAGCAATTTATAGATTCAATGCAATGCCCATCAAAATCCCAGAAAAATTCTTCAAAGACCTCGAAAGAACGGTACTCAACTTCATATGGAAAAGCAAAAAACCCAGGATAGCCAAAACAATCCTGTACAATAAAAGAACTTGTGGAGGCATCACAATCCCTGATTTCAAACTCTACTACAGAGCTACAGTACTGAAAACAGCCTGGTATTGGCCTAAGAACAGACAGGAAGACCAATGGAACTGAATAGAAGACCTGGATATCAATCCATACATTTTTGAACACCTGATTTTTGACAAAGAAGCAAAAAAAAATCAAACAGAAAAAAGAAAGCATATTTAACAAGCGGTGCTGGCATAACTAGATATCAACATGTAGAAGAATGAAAATAGACCCATATCTATCACCGTGTACAAAACTCAAGTCCAAATGGATCAAAGACCTCAACATAAAGCCAGCCACACTGAACCTTATAGAAGAGAAAGTGGGAAGTACACTTGAACCCCAGCAGCACAGACACTGAGAGAAACAATTAATAAATGGGACCTCCTGAAACTGAAAAGCTTCTGTAAAGCAAAGGACACGGTCAACAAGACAAAACAACAGCCTACAGAATGGGAAAAGATCTTCAGTAACCCCACATCAGACAGAGGTCTGACCTCCAAAATATACAAAGAACTCAAGAAATTGGACACCAAAAGAACACATAATCCAATAAAAAAATGGAGTACAGACCTAAACAGAGAACTCTCAACATAGGATCTAAAATGGCTGAAAGACACTTAAGGAAATGTTCAACATCCTTAGTCATCAGAGAAATGCAAATCAAAACAACTCTGAGATTCCATCTTACACCTGTCAGAATGACCAAGATCAAAAACACTGATGACAACTTATGCTGGAGAGGTTGTGGGGAAAAAGGAACACTCCTGCAATTGCTGGTGGGAATACCAGGTGGTACAACCCCTTTGGATGTCAGTGTGGTGATTTCTCAGAAACAACCTTCCTCAAGATCCAGTAAAACCACTTTTGGGTATATATCCAAAGGATGCTCAATTGTGCCACAAGGACATGTGCTCAACTATGTTCAAAGCAGCTTTGTTTGTCATAGCCAGAACCTGGAAACAACCTAAATGCCTCTCAACCGAAGAATGGATAAGGAAAATGTGGTACATTTACACAGTGGAGTACTACACGGCAGAAAAAAATAACGACAGCTTGAATTTTGCAGGAAAATGGATGGAGCTAGAAAACATTATTTTGAGTGAGGTAACCCAGACACAGAAAGACACTTATCACATGTACTCACTCATAGATGGTTTTTAAACATAAAGCAAAGAAAGCCAGCCTACAAACCACAATCCCAGAGAACCTGGACAACAATGAGGACCCTAAGAGGGACATACATAGATATAATACACATGGGAAGTAGAAAATAGAAAAAGACAAGATCTCCTGAGTAAACTGGGAGCATGGGGACATTGGAGGAGGATTGGAGTGGGGAGGGGGTGAGGCAGGGAGGGGAGCAGAGAAGAATGCAGAGCTCAGTAAAATCAATAAAAATTAATTAATTAAGAAATCCCAATCAAGCCAAATCACAAGCCAAATTAAAAAATATCCAGGTTTAATGGGATTACTGGCTCTCAGGTGGCCCTGAGGGGGAACTGGGAAGCTGCTAACACTATCACGGGGGTGGGGGGGTGGGGGAGTAGGGGAGGTGGGGGGAGGAAGAGACCATGAGGAGATTTTCTGGGGGAGAAGTTTAAATAGACTAGGGAAGTAGTCAAGATTTTGGCAGGCTGTCTTGACCCTCCTCTCGGGAGGGGTCAAGGTTTGGTGGACACAGGGACGGGACCTCCAAAGATGGAGACCAGAGACCGAGACTTACAGTTTTTAGTCTTGTTTGGTCCAGTATTTCTTCACTATCCCCCTTTTCCTCCCTTTTGGATATACTGTGTATTTTGTGCCATTGTATGTTGGAAGTATATGACCTGCTTTTTTGTTTTGATTTTACAGGGGTTACAGGTAAGAGATGGCCTTGCATCTCAGAAGAGATTTGAACTTTGAACTTTTATACAGTATTAAAACTGTTATAGATTATGTGGACTTTTGAAGCTGGAGTGAGTGTATTTCTGCATTATGATATGGCTATAAGCCTATGGGGGCACAGAGTAGAATGTGATGGTTTAAATAAGAATGGATCCCACAGGCTCATAGATTTGAGTGCTTAGGGAGTGGCACTATTTGAGCACACTAGGGGATGTAGCCTTGTTAGAGTCTGTGTGGTATTACTGGGTAGGTGTGACCTTTTTGGAGGAAATGTGTCACTGGGATTGGGTATTGGGGTTTCAGAAGCCCAAGGCAGGCCCAGTGACTCACTCTCTTCCTGATGCCTTTACATCCAGATGTAGAACTCTCAGCTACCATGTCTGCCTGTGTGCTGCCATGCTTTTCACCATGAGGATAATAGGTTAAACCTCTGAAACTGTAAGCAAGGCCTAAGAGTTGCTTACAATTTCTAAGTCCCCAAGTTTATAAGAGTAATGCACAGGGCAATAAAAACAATAGAAAAGAGTTGCCATGGTCACAGTGGCTTTTTAAAATTTATTTTTTGTGTCTTTCACATCATGCCTCCTGATCCCACCTATATCCCTCCCCACCTGAAAATAAAACAAAATAAAATTTAAGAGGAAAAAAAGAAAGAAAAAATCTCATCCTGGAAGCTGCAGTGTGACACAATGAGTCACGCAGTAAACCCCTTTATTCATACAGTTTTACATGCAGGTGTTTATCACAAAGAATCATTGGTCTGGTTTGAGGCCCCCAGTCTCTGCTGCACCCTCGATACTAGGCAATCATTGGAACTCTTCCTGTACATCCTGTTGCTGCCCTGTGTTGAGGAGATTCTGCAGCTCTGGGAACACAGGATTGGCTCCCCCCCCCCCCCGCCCCACTGTGGTCCAGCAGATTGGGGGACGCTGGGTTGGGTCAGTACATAGCTGTGGTTCTGGGCCTAGATACTTGCAGGGTTGGTCAACGGTCAGCTCTCTTGTCTTCACCACCAGGTGAGCTCTCCAGCATTACCCTGGCTAGGTCACCCCTCACAGTGATGAGCAAGGGGCGGGGCCCATTCTCCTGCTTTCATGTCCTCAGGGTCGGTTCCCACACCAACACCTTCAGGGCCAGTGAGGAACTGCTTGACTCCATTTTGAAGGCAGGAGATTATGCTGTATTTTTAAACACAAGTTTCTATTTTACTGTGAGAGTTGAGTTGCTCTGTTTCCTGGAACCTGACCTTCTAAAACCCATGACCTTGATTTATTTTTGAGAATAGCCTGACCCTCGCTGACCCCTCCCTAATCACGTGGTGACCACACGATGATTTTCTTTAAGGTATTTTTTTTTTGTATTTTCTTATTGCCCCACTGTCTTTGTTTTGTAAAAAACTACTCTGATTTTATTCCTTAAGAGGGGCCCAAGAGGTAGATGTGGAGCTGCTCTCTTTAACTCGAC